ATGTCCAGGGCGACCCCGTTCGAAACATTCGCCATAGGAATGCCCGCGAACTGGCTCGTTCCCCAGTGCCACCGGGACTGGACTAGTTCACCAGGGTGTGGACCAGTTCGTTGGGTTATGGAGCAGATGCCCCCTACCTCCTAGGTAGCAAGCCGTCTAGCTCACTCCCACCCGCCCTCCCAAAACATAAGTGACACCCGAGCCTCAGCATGTTCAGCGGTCGTCTTTGGATGGACAGCTACTGGGAACTTAAACCGAACCCATGTGCGCGATGCTGGGGCGAGGTGCGCCACCCCTGGGGCCCGAGCGTGCCACGTACGCATGGTGCGCCAGATGCGCCACGTGCTCCACGTGCGCCAGTTGTGCCGCATACTCTAGCCACGCCAGGTGCCACGTTCAGGGCACGTGCAGAGTGTGTCAGGTGCGCCTGCGCACGTGACAGCACACATCGGGAAAATATTGGCCCCCACCATCCTTGTCGAAAGTCAATTCCCATCATTGTGTCTGGCGGGCCTGCACACAGCAGGCCATACGCCACCACCCCCGCGATCCCTGTCAAAAACCACTTGAAAGTGGTCGCGGGGTAGTCACGCATGATCCAGATCTAGCCGCGACGTTCATTATGTATTGTTTTTTGATCGGGATGGTGGCACTGCGGCACTTTGTATCATTTTTTGACAGGGATGGTGCCCTGCGCATAGCAGGCATCATGCTGAACCCCCTGCCGTCCCTATCAAGAACGGATACAAGCTGCTCGCGGGCTTCGCGAACATGACTCAAGACTCTGTCCCGAAGTGTATTTTGCATTGTTTTTGTGGACAGGGATGGTGGGGGGCCGCATCGGGTTGGTTGCGAATGCTCCGAATTTGGAGGCATATATTTTGTTATTGTTTTTTGACAGGGGTGGTGGGGAGGTGTGATCATGGTGGTCGGCATTGTTCCTGGTTGGCTGTCGGTCGCTGGGGGGAGGGGGTGTATATCAATAGGGAGAGTGATCAATATACCCTCCCTGCCCGCAAGCTGTCTCGCTCACTCCCACCCGCGCTCCCAACATCTCAGTAGCACCCAAGCCTCAGCATGTTCAGCGGTCGTCTATGGATGGGCAGTTCTTGGGGATCCACTACACACCCCATGTGCGCCACGGGTCGAGGTACGCAACGCGTGCCAGGCGATCCAGGCGCGCCAAGTACCCCTGGGGCCCAAGCGCGCCAGGCACCGCTCGCGCGCCAGATGCGCCACGTGTTCCACGTGTGCCGCATGATCCAGCCACGCCAGGTGCGCCACGTCCAGGGCACGTGAAGAGTGTGCCAGGTGCGCCCGTGCAGGTGACAGCACACATCGGGAAAAATGTCGGCCCCCCCATCCTTCTCGAAAACCAGTGCACAATCGCGGCGGGGACGCCATCATGGTGTCTGGTGGGCCTGCACACTGTAGGCAATATGCCAGCAATCCCTCGGTCTTTGGCAAACACCAGTGGACAGTGATCGCGGGGTGGCCGTGCATGAGAGCATGTTGTATGGTTTTTGACAGGGATGGTGGCCTCGCGCAAAGCAGGCAATTTGAGGGCACCCCTGCCGTTCCGGTTAACAAAACAATGCAAAATGCTCGCGGGGCCCACGAGCAGGACCAAGATTTTACCCTCAAGTGCGCTACGTTTTTTTTGACAGGTATGGGGGTTGGGTCTCATTGGTCCTGGTTGGCTGCCGGTCGCCTGGGGGAGGGGGTGTTCATTGACAGAGAACAGTGATTACCCCGTCCCCGAAGGGGAAGAGGGAAGATGGAAGATTAACCCCCCAAGCCACTCACGCCCAGAGGGCTGGTGGGATTTCTTGGGCAGTGTTTACGTTTTCAGGCTCGGATTATTGTTTGTTCTGCAGAACGTCCAAGGTGGCGGACGAGAATCCCAGCATCACCCAAGACAGCCTAAAGAGTATTGAGAGAGCCTCCCCAATACGGCGCACAAGGGCCCCAGAATGGCCCAAGAGCCTGAGGGCCCCAAGAGGGCCCGAAGAGGGCACAGAAGGGCGCCTCGCCGCCGGCCAGAAGGCGGCCACCGCCCCACGTTTGCGCGCGCCCTTTTTTGCGAGCCACCTCCTCCGCGTGGCTAGGTGAAGGGGGACGTCTTGCGATGTGGAGCAGGGGGAGGGATACCACCCTTCCCGAAGGGGAACAAGCGGTCATGGAAGAGTTGGCTCTCTGAACAACCTGCGCCCAGACGGCTCGTGTAATTCCTCCACCGTCGCCCTTGTCGAAGATGGACGCGTGAGAAAGCAAGAACGACGATGATACAGCCGGGGGGATGTAAGAGTGTGGATTGAGGAGGTGTACGGAGGGATGGGGGGAGGAGGAGGCGAGGATGCGAACGTTGACGGTGGTGGTGGGGATGATGGGGATGATAGTGATGACGGTGATGATGGCGGTGGTGATGGTGACGGTGATGATCGCATAGCCAACGCGAATCGGGCCCTACAAGCCCTTAGTAATGGCGATGACGATGACAAAGATGGCGACGGCGGCGGCTTTAAGGAGGATGAGGTGGAGGAGGGAGATGAGGAGCAGGAGGAGGATTCCCTCGAATCATACTCTCTCCTCCTGGCGCGCGTGTGATTCTACTATGGAGATGAAGGGGACGAGAGTGATAACGAGGAGAGGAGGGAGGATGGAGGAGGAGGGAGGAGGGAGGAGGGAGGGGTGAGGGTGAGGAGGGAGGAGTGAGGAGGAGGAGGAGGATGAGGAGGAAGAGGAGGAAGAGGCGGACGAGGAAGATGAGGAGAAACCTGATGATGATGATGATGATGATGATGATGATGATGATGATGATGATGATGATTGCGGTGATAACGATGATGATAGTGCTGAGGATGATGACCATGCTGCTGCTGATGATGATGGTGATGATGATGCTGCTGCTGATGATGATGCTGCTGCTGCTACTGCTGCTGCTGTTGCTGATAATGAGGATGAGAATGAGGATGATGATGATGACGATGCTGATGATGATGACGATGCTCATGCTGATGCTTACGTTGATGATGATGCTGATGATGATGCTGCAGATGATGCTGATGATGGTGGTGGTGGTGATGATGGTGGTCATGATGATGCTGATGCTGATGCTGATGATGCTAATGATGCTGATGATGCTGCTGCTGATGATGACGATGATCATGCTGATGCTGATGACGATGATGCTGATGATGATGGATGGTGACGATGTTGCTGCTGATGATGATGACGGTGATGAAGATGGCGACGATGACGATGACGATAATGCTGATGATGATGATGATGATGATGAGGATGATGGCGTTTATGCTGACGATGCTGCTGATGATGATGCTGCTGATGATGCTGATGGTGATGATGATGACGATGATGATGACGATGCTGATGATGATGACGATGCTGATTATGATGATGATGATGACGATTCTGATGATGATGATGCTGATGCTGATGATGATGACGATGACGATAATGCTGATGCTGCTGATGATGATGGTGATGATGATGCTGCTGCTGATGCTTATGCTGATGATGCTGATTACGCTGATGCTGCTGATGATGATGCACATGATGATGATGATGATGATGATGATGATGATGATTATGATGATGATGATGATGATGATGATGATGATGATGATGCTGATAATGCTGATGCTGATGATGATGCTGCTGATGATGATGATGGTGATGGTGGTGGTGATGATGATGATTCTGATGCTGCTGCTGATGATGATGAGGATGCTGATGCTGCTGATGATTACGATGATGTTGATGATGATGGTGATGATGATGGTGATGATGATGCTGATAATGATGGGATGATAGTGATGATGATGACGCTGATGATGATGATGATGATTATGATGATGATGATGATGACGATGCCGCTGCTGATGCTGAGGATGATGATGCTGATGATGATGATGATGATTCTGATGATGATGGTGATGATGAGGATGATGATGATGATGCTTATGACGATGCTGACGATGATGATGATGCTGATGCTAGTGATGATGATGATGCTGATGATGATGCTGATGATGATGTTGATGCTGATGATGATGATGATGACGATGATGATGATGATGATGATGATTCTGATGATGATGATGATGATGATGATGATGATGATGATGATGATGATGATGATGATGATGATGATGCTGCTGCTGATGATGGAGGAGTAGCAGCAAAGGGAAAGAAGAAGATGAGATGTATGCAGGGATTGAGGAAGGTGTCGAGAGAGTCGACGATGACGAGGAAGAGGAGGAGGAGGAGGAGGAGCAGAAGGAGGAGGAGGAGGAGGAGGAGGAGGAAGAGGAGATGGAGGATACGCAGTATGAAGCAGGAGGGGGAGGAGGAGGAGGAGGAGGAGGAGGAGGGAGGAGGAGGAGGAGGAGGAGGCGGATGAGGGAGGAGGAGGAGGAGGAGGAGGAGGGAGGAGGAGGAGGAGGAGGAGGAGGAGGATTGCCAGGACGACGACGGAGAGCAGGAATAGCGCAATTAATGGCGTAATAAATGCCACCCTGGGCCCTTTTTGGATCCCTTTTGGGCTGCTCCGTGGGCGTTTCGGGGCCGTTTTGGAGTTTCTTGGACGTTTCGTGCGGCCCCTCTTGGTGCTCTTTTCAATCCTACTCGGCTCGTGCTGGGCCCCTCTTGGGACCCTCTGGAACGAAGATGCAGAGTGACCCCATGTACGTTGAATCAGAATTTGTTGTCTATGTCGTTTTCCCTCCCAGGACGCCCTATGGGAGCTTCTTCTTGTAGCTTTATTAGGGTCCTCTCGTATTTCGTGGTGTGCTTGCGGGTCCACATTCTCAGGGTCTTCGTGGGGCCCCGTGGCTTGTCCTTGGAAGGTGGGAGCTGGCAGAGAGTAGGAGGGAGGGGGAAGGTAACTGGAGGGAGAGAGGAGGACGGGAGAGCCCGATGCTGCCCCAGCCAGCGAAAACATATCACGTACTTTCAAACATGCTGCTGCAGCCGGCGAGTGCCGAACTGGATCTCCATCGACAGCGGCTCGCAGATCTTCCTGTGTCTCGCCTCCAGCGTCGTCATGTGCGTCGGCGGAGAGGCGCGGGCTCCCTTGACGCCCGCCCTGTCGCCATCCCCATTCCATTCTCCACCCTGGTCCACCCTCCATGCTCTATGCCCCAGCCTCCGTCCTCCATCCTCCAATTTCCATCCTCCATCCATCCTCCATCCTACATCCTTCAACCTCCATCCTCCCTCCTCCCTCCTCACTCTCCCCTCGCTCCCTTTCTCCGTTGGCGCCGAGCAGCCTCCGACTACCACGGTACCCGCTATACCGACGGCCACGCTTCTGTTGTTTATCCTCTTAGGACTTCGTCTCTGCCGTGCACACATTCGGCGCTCGTTCTGATAGCGCTCTGGCTACTGGTGTTCACGCCACCTCGTCCTCGCCCTGGTCGGCCGCTTCGACCGACCCCAGCACGCCACAGAACTGCCGGACACACTCCACCTACATCGTGTAACAATGGTTGATTGCCCAATCCTTGCCGTTATCCTACGTGTCGAGTTCGGCTATGTACATCTCGCTAAGGCAGGAACACATGCTACTGCAAACGCGCTGAGCACTGCCGCGCCGCGTACGGGACCTCTTTTTAACTTGACCGGCGACCATTTTCCGTACCGCCAGTGCGCTCACCGTTCTCGAGCTGCTACACTCTTTTTTTCGACGCCCTTTTCAGCCACTCTGCACTTTTCCCGTTCCTGTGTTCATTGGGATACCCGACAGCATGTTGCCACTACTTCGCTTACGGCCCCCCTTCTCCACCTTTCACTGCCTCCAACCATACCAGTATCGTCGCTCACCTTTTCACCACGGGGAAGCACAAGTTACACACCATCTCCCAGTGTTGCCAGACCAGCAGTTACACCAACGCCCACAGTTTTAAAAGCACCTGTGCCATCCGCTGGGCCAACGACAGCTCCGACGGCAACGTCCGTGGTGGCGCCCGCAGCAGCATCACTGGCACTCGCATGGCAGTGCCAACAACAGCGCAGGTGGCGTCACCCGCTGGTCTCACGGCTGTCCTGGTACCCGCGCTTGTTGCAGCGCCTGCAGCGGCAGCAACCAAGGCCCCCACAGAAGCGCCCACAGGAGCTCCCACAGCAACGGCAGCACCTATGGCTTCGTATATTTCTTCAACGACGGTTGAACCTAATCCAGACGAACCCCGACGACACCACCCCCTATCAGCCCCCACAGCCTCACAGACAGCTGCATCCACTGCTGAATGTACGGGTCGCCTATAGTTTGCCCGAAGACTGCATTTATGGCCGCCATAGAGAAAACATTGACGAAAGCGTCCACAGCAGCACCCTCGTCAGCGCTCACGGTGGCGCCTGCGGCAACACTAACTAACACTCCTCCCACGGCAATTTCACCGTATTTCCAGCGGCTTCGCCAACAGCGTTTCCCACGGCTGTACCTACGGCAGCACTAATGACAGCGTTGACAGTGGGCCAATGAAGCTACCACAGTAGCGCTCACAGCACCGCCCACGACAGCATCGCGAGGCTCGCCCAGCACCTACCAGCACTCCCACGGCATTGCCACCTCATCTCTGGCAGCCTCACCAGCACTGGCTCCTACGGCTGTGCCCACGGCGCATTCACTTCAACGCCGACGGGGCGCACATCAGAACCCCCCCACAGCGGGGCCCGCAGCAGCGCCCACGGCAGCATCGACGGCTTCGCCTACGGCCTCATGTATTGCCTACGAACCCTTGGGTGTTTGCAGGGCGAGCCGCTCCGCACTCCAAGGTCGTTCTGCGAGGGGATGTTGCAGAGCCTCGCTCGACCCCCCCGCGTGTGCAGCTTCATAGCCACACCGTTAGTCCCACTGGTGAATTTTGCACTTGCAGGCGGCGGTCCTGACGCTGGTGGCAGGAGGAGGGTCATAGGTTCGCATTTAGTTCACAGATCTGGCACACAGGTCCCAATGGCAATACCTGATGACATCACGGCACAGTGTACACAGCAGTTATTGATGCCCTGGCAGTACTGTGCCCCAGTTCTGCTGTTCATTAGTCTGTGGCGCGTACCCGCTTCGACTTGACACGCCGCCGGCGCTTCCGCCCGCGGCCGTCGACTAAGAAGTATCCTTATCGGTTTGTCCAGAAACAGATCGCCAGGCGAGTTGCCTTGATCAGGGAAGCGTAGAAGCATCCAGTGTAACAACCGCCTTGGAAGTGTTCTCTCGGAGGTCTCTTGTAGCCATCTTGGGTCTCTTTTGGGGTCCTCGCGGAGCCACTTTGGGCACTCTTGGGGCCTCTTGGGGTTCTTTTGGGGGTCTAGGGGCCCTTGTAGGGCTCTTTTTTTGGGGGGGTCTGGGAGGCCGCTTGGGGCCATCTTGGCCCCCGAGGCTAAAAAAGAGAGGGGTGACGAATTCAGGTCCCCCCCTCGGAGGCTCAACAATGTCGCCTTGAGTGGTTGTCTCCTACATTTGTCCTTACAGGTTGCCAACCTCTGAATACCACCTTCTTTTATCCTTCTTTTCCTCGCCCTCCCTGGGTCCACGCCATGAACAAATCATAACATCGGGGATCTGAGGAGTCAGTGGGGATCCGGGATGACCGCACGGGTGTGGGACCTGCGCCGTCCTCCGAGGACGCCTCGGGCGACTGGGGCTCTCCGAGGCCCCAAAACCATGCGACGACGGTCCGTGCGGCGAGGTCTCTGGGGATTTGAGGTCGCCGCATGGTCTGTCACCACGCCGTGTCAGGACCCCCAAGTGGAGGGCCCCCGTGGGGCCCGAGAGCTGGGAGAGCGATGCCAGGACCCCTTGTTTGGGCAGCAGTCGTATGTCCTCAGAATTCCGTCCGTCTTTGGTCCACTGGCGTGCGCTAGCGTTTGGCAGGCGATGAGAAAGCGCCGATGTAGCGTAGATTTAGCGTCGATTATTGGCGTCGGTCAGCAACGACTCGGAAGCGCCAGCAAGATGACATGGGGGGCCTCCCATGAGTTGCCACAGAGCCTTGTTCTCTTTTTTTTCGTCTGCACGAGATGGAGCGGCAGGCATCTGTCCCCGCCGCGTGGCCGATAGCCTGCTTACCCAGAGGAGGCGCAGGCTCCTGTGGAACAAAAGTGGCCCGACACACTTGAAGCAATGAACATCGCCAACTTCCCAACTGATGGGAAGGGGACTCCCCGATGCCACAGCGTCGCACCGAGGCCGGCACAGCCAAGGCAAGTCGGCGAGAACGTGTGGAGACCCGCCCGCTTCGCGCCACCCGCGGCGCAGGCGCTGGACTTCCTGCTGATCCCGATCGTCACCGGGATCGCGGCGTTCATCTCGAATTTCGGGAGCCTCGCGGCGAGCGCTCCCGCGGGCCGTGCTAGGTCGCCGCTTCCAACCCCTCCCCTCCTCCAGAGGCACAGTCGAGGGGAGGAGGAGGAAGAGGATGAGGAGGAGGAAGGAGTTGGAGGAAGGAGGAAGGAGGAAGGAGGAAGGGGGAGGGACGAGTCAGGAGTCAGGAGTCGGGAGTCAGGAACAGGAGAAAGGAGAGGAGGGGGAGGAGGTGGAGGAGGAAGAGGAGGCTGAATCAGCAGGGAGCAGGAGGTCTTCAGTTGGATCAGTCGGCTTTGCAGGAGTGTTCTTGGATGCTCTGGGGGAGTTGGGCTGTCGTAGGCGGTTCTAAAAGGAACCACGATGTTTCAGGTCGGGGAATGGGGTGGGGAAAGCATGAGGCAGGAGGAGAAGGAAGAGAGTAACGGATGATGATGCTGATGATGATAATGATGGTGGTGATGATGGTGACGATAATGCTGATGCTGATGCTGATGATGCTGCTGATGATAATGATGACGATGGTGATGATGATGGTGTTGATGGTGATGATGATGATGATGATGAGGATGAGGATGAGGGTGGGGATGACGATGCTGATGATGCTGATGTTGAGGATGATGACGGGGATGATGCTGATGAAGACGACATGTATGATTATGCTACTACTAATGACGTTGATTCTGCTGATGCTGCTGATGATGGTAATGCTGCTGATGATGCTGATTATGATGATGACGATGGTAATGATGATGATGCTGATGCCGATGATGATGATGCTGCTGATGATTCTGATTGATGATGCTGATGATGATGAGGATGATGATGACTGTTGTAGTAATGGTGATGATGATGCTGATGCTGAGAACGATGATGATGGTGATGATGATGATGGTGGTGATACTGATGATGATGATGATGATGATGATGATGGTGATGATGATGCTGCCGCTGATGATGATGGTGGTGGTGAAGATGATTATGAGGATACCGATGGTGCTGCTGCTGATGATGATAAAGATGCTAATACCGCTGTTGATTATGATGATTCTGATGGTGATGCTGATGCTGATGATGATGACGACCATGATGATGCTTATGATGGTGATGATGATTATGATGATGATGATGATGATGATGATGATGATGATGATGATGATGATGATGATGATGGTGACACAGATGATGATGGTGATGATGATGATGATGATACTGATGCTGATACTGGTGATGATGCTGCTGCTGATGACGATGATGCTGAGGAGGATGGTGGGAATGATGACGAATATTATTGTGATGCTGATGCTGACGCTGATGCTTCTGCTGATGCTGATGCTGCTGCCGATTATGATGATGATCATGACAATGATGATGATGATGATGATGATGATGATGATGATGATGATGATGACGACGACGACGACGACGATGATGATGATGATGATGATGATGATGATGATGATGATGATGATGCTCCTGCTGCTGCTGCTGGTGGTGGTGGTGGTGGTGGTGGTGGTGGTGGTGGTGAGGAGGAGGAGGAGGAGGAGGACGAGGAGGAGGAGGCGGAGGAGGAGGAGGAGGAGGAGGAGGAGGATGAGGATGAGGATGATGATGATGATGAGGAGGAGGATGAGGAGGAGGATGAGGAGGAGGAGGAGGAGCAGGAGGAGGAGGAGGAGAAGGAGGAGGAGGGGATGATGATGATGATGATGATGATGGATGCTAATAACGATGATAACGACGACGCTGATGATGTTGATGCTGATGATTATAATGATGATGCTGTTGATGAGGAGAAGGAGGGTGATGCTGAGGATGGTAATGTGGAGGACGAGGATGAGGATGAGGTTGTTGTTGGTGATAATGATGATGGTGATGGTGATGGTGATGCTGATGCTGATGCTGCTGCTGATGATGATAGTGGTGCTGCTGATGATGATGTTGACCATGATGATGATGATGCTGCTGCTGCTGATGATGATGATGATGGTGGTGGTGGTGGTTATGATGATGATGAGGAGGAGCCGGAGGACCGTTTGTCCCCTGGACTGTCCGTCTTTCTTATGAGGCATCGAGAGCCTAGTTGAGGCTAGAGCTGGCGCCGCTGCCGACCAGCCTATGAGCGTGATGCCGACTGCCAGTAAGTGCAGGTACTCTGCGACCCCGCGTCTTTGCCGGCGTTGCTGGTGAGACATCTCCACCAAAGATGGGATGGCGGTCTGTTGGCCGTCACCGCGCGCGCAAGCTGTATTTGCTCACATGCCTTGTCTTCGCAGTGCCGTGCCTCTCCCTGCTGATGGATTGCTGATGGTCCATCCGGTTGTCCCAGACGCTGCCGCCATGGATTCGACTGGGTCCACGGCCCCACTGCGAGGGTGCTACGGCCCTGTCGTCAGTCAGGGAACCCGCCTAGGCTGCCGCGTAAGATTTTACTACGCCGAAGTAGTCCACGCGGTACCTAAGCTCCTGGTAGGTGCCGCTATTGCCCTTCAGATTCCATGACTGTTCGAAGAACACGTCTGGTAGGGAGGGGGAAGCCTAGAATGGACAATCGCATTCGTTTGTGATGGTGATGTTGAAATCACAGACTTGCACGCAGATCTTCGAATCATGGCAATTCCTGGGCTATGTCAGTCTTCAGTTGGGCTACGTCCTCGCCGCTTGTGTTCCCGAACGTTTGGGGAAGATTTAGGAGCATTGTTGAGGCCCTCGTGGACACTCTTGGGGTCAACTCGGATGGAAGTCGCTGCGGTCACTTGGACGATGATGATTTGAAGTGTGCGCTGGAGTTCGCCCAGAGAGATCACCACAGGAGGGTCATCTCGAATCCGACGTCGGGCCTTATACAGTGCGTCCAGGATCTGCTGCTTAGTTTCACGTGGCTGCCAAACACGCTCCCACTCCTGTCTCTTACTCTCCATGATGCCCGTGGGATTCGCGACGGTGTTGCCACTCACGTAGATCTCCAAGCGCTGCTGCTCCTGAGGCTTCACCTGTCGATGCAAGACTCCAGGTTTCGCCTTCCACATATCTGCCAGCCAGCCAGCATACTTCTTCTTCGACTGATAGGAGGCGTGTGCAGCGGCACGTCCTGCCCAAGCCTCCGTACGACCAATAAGCTCAGACCGCTCGTCTTCGTCCAGCACCGTGATAGTGCGCACCAGCTCAGTCCACCTGAAGACATCATCCTCTTCCACCTTCGGCAGCAACTTCTCTCTCTCTTAGCCTCCATGTCTGCGATCCGTCGCTGCAGGATAGTCAAGTTGAGCTTAGCCAAGTCCTCATGCTTCTGATGCTTGCACAGTGCCGATAGCTTCTTAACGAGCGCCGATGTGATTGCCCACCACTCCGCAGGATCATGCTTAACAGGAGGAGGAGGCGGAGGAGGAGGAGGAGGAGGAGGAGGAGGAGGAGGAGGAGGAGGGGGAGGAGGAGGAGGAGGGAGGAGGAGGAGGAGGAGGAGGAGGAGGAGAGGAGGAGGAGGAGGAAAGAGGAGGAGGAGGAGGAGGAGGACGAGGAGGAAGAGGAGGAGAAGGAGGAGGGATGAGGAGGATGAGGAGGAGAGGAGGAGGAGGAGGAAGGGGTGGGAAGAAGCTGAGGTCAATGAAGATGAGGGGGAGGGGGAGAACATGAGGAGGAGGATGAGGATGAGGAAGAGGAGGATGAGGAGGAAGAGGAAGAGGAGGAGGATGATGATGATGATGAGGAGGAGGAGGAGGAGGGGGAGGAGGAGGAGGAGGAGGAGAAGGAGAGGAGGAGGAGTGGGAAGACGCTGAGGAGAATGAAGATGATGGGAAGGGAGAGAAATGATGATGATGATGATGAGAGGAGGAGAGGAGGAAGAGGAGGGGAGGAGGAGGAGGAGGAGGAAGGAGGAGATGGAGGAGGAGGAGGAGGAGGGGCGGGGGGAGGGGCAGAGGGAGGGGGAGTGGGAGGGGGAGGAGGAGGAGGAAGAGGAAGAGGAGGAGGAGGCGGGTGAGGAGGATGATGATGACAAGGACGATGAGAAGGATGATGATGCTGATGATGATGATGATGATGATGATGATGATGATGCTGATGATGATGATGATGATGATGATGATGATGATGATGATGATGATGATGATGGCCCGTTTTCGAACGATAATCGCTGGGGCGTTGAAGGCCGCGCGGGTTCTCCGAAACCGCCCCGGCTCAAGCCTTTTCTGTGAGGGCCTCAGGTCGCCTTGCTCCCTTCGGCTTCCGCATGCGCGCCGCGGCCCGCGGGGGAGGGCTGATCGCTTTCCACCTCCTCGCCGCCTGGGTGGCGCGGCGGTGGGGCTCCCCCTCGCCGGCGCCGCTGCCTGCGGCGCCGCCTGTGCCGGAGCCGCCGCGGGCGGCACCGGCGCCCGCTCCGCCCGCGCGGAGCTGCCCGGCGGCCGCGCCGCCTGCCTCCGTGCTGGTCCCGGACCTCTGCGCGGAGATCGCCCGGTGCCTGCCGGCGCCGCCGCTCCCGGCCTGGGAGTACTGCCCAGATCCCTGCCCGGTTTGCCCCAAGCCGGAGGAGGGTGGCTTCAAGTGGGGCATCGAGCTCGGCATCGGGTTCTTCACCCTCCTGATCTGGGAGGCCGTCACCAGTTGCTGGGCTGCGCTGCGCTGCCAGGTACGGCGCCTGCTCTCAGGCGCGCGGGCGGCTGGGCCTGCGGCGGCGCCCGCGGCTCTGGAGGACGGCAGCCCGTCCGCCCAGGTTGGTCGGCGCTTCCCAGGTGGCAAGGGAAGGCTGGTGGCTGCCTGATGAACGTCGGCGATGAGCTGCTGGTCTGCTATGACGTTCCTGGCGCTCCTCTGCTCCATCGCCGCCTCGTGGTCCGCGTCAGCCAGGTGCAGCCGCTGCGCGCCGCGGTGGTTTCGCCCGACCTCGACCTGTTCATCGAGCACTTCACGGACGACAACGACGACATCGCCGCCTGGTATCGGTGCGGACCCGGCGGGGCAGTGCCGGCTGGGCTGGGCGGAGTGGCGCTGTACGACTTCCAGCAGCCGCTCACGGCCCAGG